CATGTTAGCCATATAATATAATAAGATGGAACCTTGCATTCAATTTCTATATAATTCCACAAGGAATCCAGTAAAAGAAACAAATTCTAGCTACATTATTTATTGTACTTATAAATCATTTGGCCGCTAAAAGAAAGCCACCCACAGACAAACCAAACAGAATGCTTCCTTTGTCAGACACAGATGATATATGTGCTCTAGAATATCAGATAGTAGCGCCCGTCTATTGTTACTGCATATATCAAATTTATAAATGCCGAAAAAATTGATATTTATCGAGTTGCAAGTTAATAGCTTGGAGGAATTGTTTACTTTTGCACTGGAGTAATGCATTTATTATATATCCAAGTGCATACGGCCTGCTGTAAGGTAAGAAACATATGCTACGAAGTATCCGACAAGTTTATATAAGCTCTGAGGCGGAAAGAGTATGCAGCATGATGCATGCCAGAGAGATGAGGCGTTGGATTGTTTTGGCCCAATGGATGTGCTCAAATCAGAGGTCATTATTGAAGTTAAGTCTGGGCAAATGAGTAGACTTTAGCAGGGCGATGTTTATGTTAATCGCACTCAAATAGCAATGTGTAAACACTTGTCGGACGACATATTTCTGGCTAGGCAAGGCGACACTCGCAATACACTATAAATGCCCATAAACTATATTTGTTTGTTGTACTTTCATTTGCCAGCATATCATATGTACAATATTTCTGTTTATGAAAATCAAATCGAATAAACTGTTTTCTCCAATTTCAGTGTCGAGATCGGAGAATCGGTGCGCGGCGAAGATGTTTATATCGTACAGTCCGGTTCCGGGGAGATCAATGATAATTTAATGGAGCTGCTGATCATGATAAATGCATGCAAAATAGCATCAGCCTCTCGTGTTACAGCTGTGATTCCTTGCTTTCCATATGCCCGCCAAGACAAAAAAGATAAGGTAGGTTTGCCTTATAGGGATATATGTACATATGTATAACATCCGACTGCCCGCTCCCTATATATATATATATATATATATTACTTCTTATAATTCTTGACACACACAATTTATGATATAATGCAAAACTAGTTCGGATTTCGTTTAAACAGCAAGAATTCTAGACAGTAAAGCATATAACTGTCCAATGTTAATAACCCACATACCTATACCTGCATATATATATATATATATATATATATATATTGATGTTGATATATATATATATATATATAATATTAGTTAATCTGTTTTCTTTTTTGCATTTTGTAATTGAATTTCAATATTTTTGCGTTTATTTAAAACAACGAAAAAAAAAATGGTTGCAAGGAAGTCAAGCTGTAAAGAAAATCATAAAAATGTGGAAAATTTGTAGATCTATAAATAATCAAAAACAAAAAACTTAAATTTTAATATAATATTGTACATTTTACTTATATATATTTATAACTATGTATTTTTTCTTCAATTAATTATGTTTAATGCCGCTGTTTGCAACGACTTTTGGTGTATTACGATCGTGCGCTCTCCCTCTCGCTCTCTCTCTCTCTGCCACTCTCTCTCTCTCTCTCTCTGTCGCTCACTCTCTCTGTGCCCAATTCTCGCGGTGTATGTGCTACGATCTATATAACAATCTTCACACTAGTTGTCGGGCGGTGAGGAGAAAGACGAAAGCAAGAAACTTGCCAAGAAAAACTTCGATTGGAAATTTAGGGTATTTACCTTTAGTTAAACAACTCAACTTAAACTCAAACTCAAACTCACATAATTCATAATCTGAAAATACTTAATTTTCAATTTGTTTTTGTTATTTCTACCAAATGTACTAAGGGCAAACAAAAATCTCATCAAACTCATTCAAGAAACTCAATTGCCAAGCAACTTTGCAAAACTATTCTCACCTCTGGGCTTCGGGTACCTAAAAAAATAAAATAATATACAAATATAATAACAATAATAATATGTTGGTACAAGTTTCATTCGATAATGCTTTGATATCTTTAAATACAAATTTCCAAATTTGAAATTCAAAAAGGTTTTCAGCTTTTGTCTTTTATGTTTAATACACGTGCTGCATGTTAAACTAACTAAAAAAATAAACTGTTAAAAAAATATTGCAAAAAAAAAAAACCCAAAATTTATAAACAAATGCAATGAAAAGCGCAATTAGAGCAAAATTCGAATTTTGAGCAATTATATTTGTGAAATTTACCAAGAGAAATACAAAAATTTCCACATTTTTTTTTTCTTTCCGTTTTCTTGCATTCAAATTCGGTTTGTTTCCTGGCAACGGCGGCGGCGCTTCATTGCAACAAAAATATATGATTTAATACTTATATTAACACATTATTTATATTTATAAACATTAAATCTACTCGCACTGCTGTCTGCTCGTGTATTTTGTCATGTCTCGTTGATGCTACTATATAGCACATATATATATATATATAAACATCTATATTTATTTATTGTTAATTTCAATTTGTTGTTGCATCTTTGCACTTGTTTTCACCAACTTGCGCACCAAGTTTTTTCCACTCCCCACCCCGTCGTAAAAAAAAAACAAGTAAGAGGTTCTAGTCGGTAACTCCCGACTAGGGGATACCCTGAACCCTGTTCTTCCAACATCAAATGCATATACTTGCTAGCTCTTATTATTTACCAAAATTGCTCAAGAAACCAGGATATCGATATCGATTTTTATCGATTGCTTGGAAACGGAGTAAGTTATCGATCATCGCAAACAAACTCGATCTGCGCAGGCACTAGAAGCAAGTCTCTAGTTCTTATAGGTTCTGAGATCCTTGTGTTCATACATACGGACAGACGGGGGTCGGAGATGCTTCCCATTTTTAATGGGTTCAGGGTATAAAAACAAAAACCGGGTTCAAATCCAAGCTGATAAGACTTTGTTGCCTAGCAACCAAGAAAAAATGAGTTTTTTTTTTTTTATATATTTTTACAATTTTCTGTTTGTGTTTTTCATAGATTTATTTATTATATAGATTTATATGCAATTCAATTGATAACCCATTAGGCACGTCATTTATTTATACTGACGTCAGCTCGCCTATTCTTCCATTGCATTGGGGGTCCGGCATTATCTATCTCCGATTGTGCTTGAACCCGGGGGCCTTACATTTGTAATTGCACAAAAATATTTTTCCATAATTTGTGTACGAGTCGCATAATCTATAGGAAAAAAGTGCCTTACTCTGAACTCGAAATGCGTTTCTTGACATTGAATTGAATTTTTGATTATGCTATAGAAATATTTGTATATGCAACACGGTAGCTTATAGGTTCAATATGTTCTGTAATCCTTTTAACCTTTGTACACCTGATTTATTGCCCTCTGCCCCGCCAAGTTCCTAACTCTTAACAAGATTTTGTTAATGTAATACTAACTTCAGAGATATAGCACCAGCTAATGCACAATCCAAATTGCAGCATTTTGTTTTGTCTCAATATCAAATTTCTTTTATTTTTAATTTTAATTTATCTTTTTGTTTCTATAAAACTTGAAGCGAACATTTCACTCAACTTTTCGTTTCTTCTTTTTCTTTTCTTTTTATTCGACTCTTATCGACTATGTTTAACCAAAACCAATTACCAAAAAAACAAAAAACAAACAAAAATAAATCTCTTAATATGTGCTTAGGAGTTTTCACCCAGACAATATACTGTGAGTAGCTGGCGGCGGGTCTAAGCTTTTATTTTTATACAGCTTCGAGCGATATATATATTATATCTTAAAACTAAAACAAAAAGGAAACACAGCTTAAACAATTTTCACATTTTCTTTAACTGAAACAGTTGCAGTTTTTGTTATATTCATCTATTTTTTTTGTTCATTGCATTTTTTGAATTTCCTTTCCCTGAAAAATTTTGACTAATAAACATGTTTTCTTCTTTTTCTTTTTTTTTTTTTAAATCCCAATGCATGTTAGTTTCAACTGGTTTTTTAGTTATGTTCTTCGAAAATCTGGTTAAAAAATTGATAAAAAAAAACCCGTTTTTAATACTCTTGCACAATCTAAAGTGAATATAGAAATATTTGCTAAAAATTGTAACTCGCACATACTCTCTCTCTCTCTCTCTCTCACTCTTTGTAACTGGTGCGCACTCCCATATCTCCCTCTCTCTCTCTCTCTCTCTCAATCTCTCTCTTGATCGCGCTCAACAGTTGCTCATTGTTGTCCTTTGTGTTTGTCAAAAATCGAAGTTCTTGTCTATGATATTTATTACCTATTGGATTGTTACGATTTTCTGTGTGTATATATATGTTATGTATATGTATTATTAATTTTGTATCCATGGTTAACTCTCTCATAATGCCTAGCCTTAAGTTACTATATCTATATACCATATATATATATATAGTACAATCATAAGATTTCAATTATTTACTAACTACGCTAATGATACATGATATATTCTTAATTTTTCTACGCTGGCCCATGCACAGAGCCGTGCGCCCATCTCGGCGAAATTGGTCGCTAATATGCTATCAGTGGCCGGTGCGGATCATATTATAACCATGGATCTACATGCCTCACAGATTCAGGTAAGCATTTCCCCTTCATTAAGAGAATAACGAACGCAAGTTCTTGAATGTAAAATTTGTATATCCGAGGGATTGTTCGTCTAGAAGTTGTTCTGATATTTGGCAGATATGTTAAGAGGGAGAAATATCATTTTGAGAATATTGAGCTTCTTTTATATCAAGTTTGTTTAAGATAGATATTTCCTCAGGTAGTAATAGGATTGTGCCTATGTTTGGGCCAGAAATCTTGAATAACGAGAGTTTCTTTCTTTATCCTTCATATGATATGATACAGCCCAGCATATAGACAGAAGGATATATACTGATCAAGTTTATATATAGACACTTTGTGAAACTCTTATTTAAGGGGGCATAACACAACAATTTTGTTTTATTTTACATTTCATTAATCGTACTACTTTATAAATGCCAAAAATTAAGATGAAATTAAGAAATTAAGAAAAAAAATATATATATCGTAGGAGAAAGTCGAAAAACTAGGAATTATTAATGGTTAATTAATGTTAATGTCAAAGCGGTTGAGACCCAATTAAAATTCTTATCGCCCCACATCCTGGGCTACTCTGGCTGAGTCTGGGGCTGGGGCTGGGGCAGTTCATCATCTGTTAGAGACGTCTGCATGGATATAATGCGTACTGATAATGTGGACAAGTGGTCGACGAGCTCGTTGATGCGCTTCTCCTTCTCCAGTATGACCTTCTCTAGATACTGCACCTTTTGGCTTAGAGATCCGATATATTGCTCCTTTTTCTCGTTGATACGCTTCAGTTCCTCATAATTGGCATAGGTTACTCTCAAATTGTGCGATAATAGTGCGCTTGTCTCCGTTTCGTTCTGTGTCGGGCTCTGGTTCTGCGTTTGTATTTGGTTAGGTATCGATGGCTCTGTTGGTATCAGCGTCTGAGATCGGACCTCCTCCTGGGCATCATCCCGATTGTCGGACTGTTGCCGCTGTCCCTTTGTCGGAGATGCTCGACGTGAGCTCAACTGTATGCCATCCCGTTCGATGCGCATCAAATGAAAGAGCAAAGATCGTATGGCATTCAGATCGCCCGAGGCGAGCTGCTCCAAGGCCGGACGCATCAGTATCAGGCCCGTTTTTCGCAATACCTTCAGATTGAACGTCTCCCAATTGAGCAGCTTGAGGGCCAATTTGCCGTGAGACGTATAGTTTTTCATGTTCACCAATTTGGCGTCGACATTCTTGAAGAGCAGCGCCATATTGACAACATCGGAGAGATCGCGTCGTGTGCGATGGTTAAGTGAAATCTCTTTGGTATTTAGCCAGTCGTCCAGCTCCTTGTGCTCCTCGGCCGATAAATTGCGTGAGTTCAACATCCTTTCGGCCATCTAAAGCAGTCGCGCTGTTCGCAAATTAACTTTTGTATATCAAAATAAAAGAGAAACGTTCAATTTTTTTCCTTCTATTTTAGAAGCAATAGAGAGATAAAGGAACTAAAAGTTTTTTAGGTGAATAGGAATAAGTTTCAGAATAAATTTGTGATGGCAAATTCTATGACAGAACTGTGCACAGTTGCTATATGCTTTATAAACTATACATATAAGTATATGCTTCTATATAAATAGGGTTTCTTCGATATACCAGTTGATAATCTCTATGCCGAGCCGGCGGTACTCAAATGGATCAAAGAGAACATTCCCGAATGGAAAAATTCGATTATCGTATCGCCCGATGCTGGCGGCGCCAAGCGGTAAATACAATGCGATTCACCTTTGCCTGAACCCAGTCTCTCTATATATATATTGATATCCGTTTATGCATCCATACAGTGTCACCTCGATTGCGGATCGCTTGAACGTGGAGTTCGCGCTGATACACAAGGAGCGCAAGAAGGCCAACGAGGTGGCCTCCATGGTGCTCGTTGGTGATGTTAAGGATAAGATTGCCATATTGGTCGACGATATGGCCGATACATGCGGCACCATTGTCCATGCCGCCGATCGTCTCGTCGAAGCGGGCGCCACCAAGGTGGGTGTGCCTAAACTTAAATGAAAACTTCAGCTCACATGAACGATTCCTTCTATACAGGTGTATGCCATACTGACGCACGGCATTTTTTCGGGTCCGGCGATTTCGCGCATTAACAATGCCTGCTTCGAGGCGGTCGTTGTGACCAATACCATACCACAGGATGGCCATATGCGTGATTGCCCCAAAATACAGGTAAGACTCACTCTCTCTCTCTATAAACAATACCTAATCCCTCTCTCTCTCTCTCGCTTGATTTGCAGTGCATTGATGTGTCCATGATGTTCGCCGAGGCAGTTAGACGGACACACAATGGCGAGAGTGTCTCGTATCTCTTCTCAAATGTTCCATATTAAGCGTTAAATCCAAATGCAGCAACAACTAAAACAACAACAACAACAACAACAACCATAACAACAACAACAACAACATCAGCATAAACAACAATTAACAACAACAAACCAATCAATTTTCAATTCGCAGCATCTTTTGCCATCCTTCATCGCTATATATTTTTTATTATCTACTAACTATCAGATAAACAACAACAACAACAACAACAACAATCGTCATTATGTAATTATATAAAGTAGCATAACAACAACAACAACAACAATTGCACACTTAATTGCCTTCTTTTTGTCTAGAAACAAAAACTAAAAAAAAAAAAAAAAATGCGCCACATTTTTGATTTGTTAAATTTTGTTCGTAAAATAATTGAATATCGCATTTTGTAAAAGATTATCAGCTCTTAGAGAGAAAGTTAGTTGTATAGATTATGTAGTAAAAGATACACACCTACACACACGTTCACACACACACACACATGCACACACACACACATGCACACACAACCACATACAAGAATTGTAATTTTACACTGTGCAACAAAAACTTTTTGAATGTTTCCTTAACATAAGTTTTGATGCGAAAATGCTTGCAAGTTCAAAACAAATAAAAATTTTAGTAAATTTAAGTAAATAAGTATACAAAAAAAAAACAACCACAATTGAAAAGAAATTTAGGCGTTTAAAGTAAACAAAAAACAAAAAAACAACAACAACAAAACAAAAATAAAAAAAATTTAAAAAGAGACTCTGAATAATGTTTTTATGTGTCTATTCTGGGAAAACTGGGTATCAAACTTTGGTAAGATATAGTCAGGAGACCTGACCGGACAGGGTTTGAGCCAGCGCCTTTTCTTTTGGTTTGTGAATCGGCTTTGTTTCATATGCAAAAACAGGTTCCAAATTCGAGCTTGAATCTAAGTTCTTCATATTTATCTAGATTTAAAAGAAATAATTGTGAATTTTATGTTCCCATATTTTAAATTTAGAAAAATTAGTTGTTTTTTTGTTTGAAAAAGTTTTTCCAATACTTTATTCCTTTTATTAAACTTACCTGGTTCATGCTAAAAGAAAACTTGGAGTGCCTGCCAAGAGGATTGCTTATCGGTTATTTTTTTGTTATCCTTGCTATTTGCTTTATTTAATAGAGTTCCTTTAAAGATCCACAGATCTACATAATACATAGAACTTACGTATATTGGAGGCTATAAGTGGAGTACAGGAGATATGGGAGTTGCCCATTATGGAAATGAATGCTGCTTAGGGAACCAGCCGAGTGATGATATATACTATTACATAATAACTTAGCTAGCAAGGTACAATTTAAAACAGATGCCCCTTTCTGGAAACGGACTGGGCAGAGCTCATCTGGCTCTGAACATATAAGATCCATCATTTGATCCAATTGAATTTTAATACAATAGTTTATTGACGGACGGCAGTTACAGAGGTTGCTTAAAACTCGGCGAACTCCTCCTCCTCCTCATCATTGTTCAGGCCGACTTCATCGAAATCCCGTTCGAGCACAGCGATATCCTCGCGCGCCTCATTGAACTCGCCCTCCTCCATGCCCTCGCCCACGTACCAGTGGACGAAGGCGCGCTTCTTGAACATCAGATCAAATTTGTAGGCCAGATTGGAGAAGGCCACCGATATGGCCGTCGTGTTGGATAGCATGCAGCAGGCGCGCGATGTGGGCGCCAAATCGCCGTCCTGGACAAAGGCGGGCTTCTCGTAGTTGATGCCGATCTTGAAGCCCGTGGGACACCAGTCAACGAATTGTATATGCCGTTTCGATTTGATCGCCGAAATGGCGGCATTCACATCCTTGGGCACCACATCGCCGCGGAAGAGCATGCAGCAGGCCATGTACTTGCCGGCACGCGGATCGCACTTGACCATCATGTTGGAGGACTCGAAGCAGGCGTTCGTCAGCGTGGTGATCGCGTGCTGCTCGTGAGCGGCACGATCCGCGGACATGAGCGGCGCATAGGCGACGAGCGGGAAATGGATGCGCGGAAAGGGCACCAGATTCGTTTGGAACTCATTCAGATCCACGTTCATCGAGCCGCTAAAGCGCAGCGAGGCGGTCGTCGAGCTGACAATCTGGGCAATCAGCCGGTTCAGATTGTTGTATGCCGGCCTGTCCACGCCCAGTTTACTTTTGCATATATCGTAGATGGCCTCGTTGTCCACCATAAAGACGCAGTCCGCATGCTCCATGGTCGAGTGTGTGGTTAACAGCGCATTGTACGGCTCCACCACGGCCGTGGACACCTTGGGCGACGGATAGACGCCAAAGTTTAGCTTACACTTTTTGCTAAAATCATTGGACAGCGCCTCCATCAGTAGCGAGGTGAAGCCGGAGCCGGTGCCGCCGCCCATGGAATTGAAGATGAGGAAACCCTGCAGACCTTCGCATTGTTCCACAATCTTTTGCAGCCTTGAGGTCACCTTGTCGATCACATCCTTGCCAATCGAGTAGCGTCCGCGCGCAAAATTATTGGCCGCATCCTCCTTGCCGGAGATCAACTGCTCCGGATGATACAGATGCCGTGTGGGGCCCGTGCGCACGCTGTCGATCACCGACGGCTCCAGGTCCACAAATATCGAGCGCGGCACCTGCTTCCCGTTGCCCGCCTCCATGAAGAATGTGTGCGCATCGTTCTCGGTGGCGCCTTGTCCAACGCTGGCGCCACGGCCGCTCTCCACCTGCTGCTCGTCGGTCTTGCGACTGCCATCCAGATTGATGCCATGCTCCAGCAGATACAGCTCCCAGCAGGCGTTGCCGATCTGCGTGCCGCATTGGCCAATTTGTATGGAGATGACTTCGCGCTTTAATGCAATCGGATAGATTAAAAAGGGGGTTGAAATTTTGCCAACGCTTTATTTGAGAGTAACCGCTCACCATAATTTGTGTGCCAATTACAGCTAATTAGAATGTGCAAAACAATTTAAAATAATAATTTTCTGTACTGCCGGCAACAAATTCCACTTTTTCTTCTTGGGCCACGTTGCAGAACAAAATGGCTGAAGCTGTGGAACTCTTGCGGCGACTGGATGGATGCCGTTATACCGGATAGCACAAAGCGAACTGTCAAAAGCCCAATTCGCTGCAGAGTTGCAATCGCGATCGGCAGCTGGTGCGAAACTTGACTAAGACAGTGTTGCAGCTTGAAGGACATTTAATGAGCATTTTGTCTGTGGTTCTGTTAAAAACTAACTTAAAATAACTTGAGGTGGTAAAATGTGTGGTAAAATAAATTCCTTGTTTGCGGTTAAATGGCAACTTAAGTTTAGATTGAATAAATACAAGACGGTTGCGTGGGTTGTGGCATCTACGATCCTAGTCCTTGCGCACACCTGGCGGCAGCGTCACATCAAACACAATGGGCGCATTGTTGGGCAAATAGTTGATGTCGCACGTGGACGCATTCACATAGATGATGCGCCCATCGCTGGTTATGCCATAGCCCTCGTGCACATGCCCAAATACATGGTATTTGGGCTTCACACGCTGTTGCACGGTGCTCAGCAGCTCCACGCAGCCGGCGCGCACGCCCGAACAGCAGAGATCACCATGGCCCACGGGCGGTGTGTGTGTGACGAGTATATCGACGCCAGCGGGTATTTGATTCCATTTGTCCAGGCAGGCGGCGCCGCGCGGCACGTTGAATGCCCAGCGACAGAATTCTGGCTGCCAGGGCGAACCGTAAATGCGCACGCCCCACAGCTCCAGCAGCTCGTCCTCCAAGTACGTGCAATTGGTTAAGGCATCGTGTATGTTGGGCGTCTTAACGGCGCTCTCCATGCTCTCCTTGTCGTTGCCCAGCGTGGGCAAATCGTCCAATATTGTCATGCCCGTGTGCTTGGAGCTGCCAAGGACCAAATAAACAGGTGAGTTAAGCGTGGCAATAAGCATATTCAGCTCACCGTTCGGCATGTGTCTGGCCCTTGGTCTGAAACGGATGCGTGAAGGTGCGATCGAAGCTAAGCTCATGATTGCCGGCTATCACAATTTTGTGCCTGTGCGGCAGGGCGCCAATCCAATTGTTAAACTCGACCACCTCCTGCAGCTGGCCGCACTTGGTGAAGTCGCCGGCGTGTATAAAAATATCACCATCGGGTATATCGAACTTGATGTACGGCGTCAGTGAGTGCGTGTCCGACAT